TATTTTTACGTTTGTCATAATGTTTTAATGTCTACGTTGTGTTGTGTTATGAACCGTGTGAAAGGGTTTTACAAAAGATTACTATGTCGAAACAATAATTCTCAGTCTAGTAAAACGATTGTTGGGGTTGATTTCATCATTTTCCGTGTGATCTAGAAAAAGCTTAACAAACAAACAAAAATTTAGTATTTATAAATTATAAAACCAGTAACATAAAATTTAAACATGGATTTTAAAAACAGAAACAAGTAACATTTGATTTGATTTGGCTTGACAAATCCTTCAAAATAAAATAAGAAACCAATAACCCTATTACATTGGAACATATCCAACCTTCTCTGAATAGTAGCTGCACCCTGCATGCATTAAGATTAATCTAAACATTAATAACGAAATCGAAAAGATGAAAAACTGAGGATGAAGAGAGGTATGAGGGTTTTTGTATGTATCAAACCTCCATGTCCCCAATCTTGTACAAGTACCATTTCTTCCTTTAGCCGAGCTTGCTCTTTCATAGCTTGAGCTTGCCATTAGATGATAATCAACGTAAGAAGATTTGTGCAAGTAACCATATTATTATATGGCAAATGCGCACAGCAAGATTTCATAAACGATACTGATCATTCCGCTTTCCATTGATCGCTTTAGAGCTATCACTTCTTCTTCCTTCTGAACCAAAAAGTCAAATCGAATTGATCTCTCGGAAGTCAAATGGCAAGAAAATGAAAAAGAGGTGATAAAAACGAATTCGGAAAAAAATCATTAGTACGTAGCTACAAAAGCCTACAATTGCGAAATAGAAACATTTGTAAATCGGGCAAAGAACAAGGAATGGTGCATAGATTACCGTGAAAGGGAAAAAAAAGGAGAGGGATATTGTGAGACCCCAATCCCGCTTTTCTTTTGTGGAATTAGACGGATCGTCATTCAACTGTGAGACTTCGATTCCGTTTTCCAATTTAGAGAACTAGACGGATCAGTTATCAATTCTTACTTTTTTAATGAATTCAACACCCTTAATTTATGCTCGTGAGTCCAACATCCTCTCTTTAAGTCTATTGGTTCAATGTCTTCTTTTTAGGCCCGATAGTCCATTATTGTCTGACTGTCGGTTTATCAGTTCGGGAGGCTCATAAAATTTGTTTACGATCCCTGCAATCACCACGTAATCTTTCTCCGTGTTTTGTCTTCACTCACACAGTACCATGGATCACTTCCCGGTAGGTTACCTATTCTGAAATTGCTCCAGCTTAAGCACCTTTAATTCTGGAGTTCTCTCAAGATCAGTGGTCGGTGTGTTAGTCCGGGAGGCTCATAAGACTTGTCTATTGTTTCTGTAACCACCATATAATCTTTCTCCGTGCTTTGTTATCATTCATACGATACTGCAGATCATTTTGCTATAGGTCACCCAACTTAAAATTGGTCCAACTTAAACATTCTTTATTTCCAGAATTCTTTTAAGACCAGTATCCGAAAAAATAAGTATATTTTGATGACATAAATAACTAAATAAATTCTTACAAACTTCTTCACATATACCAGAAATCGAAAAAATATAAATCTGAAGAAGTTGATTGAAGAAGAAGACGTTTTAGAGAAATACAGATTCTGGAAATAAATGGAAATTAAAATCTTGAGTTTACCAATTTTACCTATCCCTCTCTCTAAACTTTTTACTGACGAGATATTTTGTTTACTATTCATTTATTAGTGACAGATCATACTGTTATTGGTCTCCACTCCACATTAGGGGTACAGTTAAAATAGACTATCATAGTACATAATTACATTAGAAAAAAACGGTTGAATCTGAATAACACTTACAGTAGAACCTCTATAAATTAATATTCGATAAATTAATAATCACTATAAATTAATAAATTTTGCTCATCCCAAGTTGGGCCACTGTAAAAATCTAGCAAATTCGATAAGATAATAAGATAATAAAGTTTTTTGAAACCCCTATGTAAATATATGGTCCCAACAAAAACATAAATTAATAATTATATAATTTTTTGTAAATATATGTAAATATAATTTTTTTAAATATGACTAATGTGTTTGCTTTTAGTTAAGGTTGAAATCTCATTAGATCTTATTTCTCTAATTATTATATCAGTAGTTTTTATTAGTGTTTTATGATATACATTCAAAATTTTTGATGATTTTTTGATGTGATGATTAATTTTCTTACCTGTAAATGTTTTTAAATGTATTGTAATGTTATCTTCAATTTTACCATCAATATACAGATAGTAACTATAGTTTTTTTTATAAATTTTAAACTTATGAATATGTATATTTTTACATGAATAATCTAATATGGTATTAAAAAACTATTTTACTATGATCATTGTTAATCATAATTTATATTACAAGATTTGTTAAAATTTTAAAATATAACATTATTCTAAAGATTTTTTTTTAAATTATTAGTTGAAAGCAAATTTTCTTTATAAATTAATAATTAATAATTTATAGTATAAATTAATATCACGATAAATTAATAAAATATCATAGTCCCGACATTATTAATTTATAGAGGTTTTACTATTATATAAAAAAAAACAAAATCAAGGAAGAAAATTAAATTTATTTTTACTTGTAAAACACCTAAAAGTCTTCAAATACTTGTGTTCCAAAAAATTCACAAGTTCCAGAAATCAGCTAAAATAGATTATGATATTTGCTTGATTATTATGACCACATGTCACACATTTTTTTTGTAAAGCTGTAGTCGAGATTTCTGATACGATTGATTTTGTTTCAATCTCAAAGGACACCTGGTCTCAACTTAATGAAATTGAATAGGACACCTGGTCTCAACTTAATGAAACTGGCTAATTGAACGAACATCCTCTCGCCTACATGGCCGTTTTGGCTTATAAATTAACCATAACTATCAAAATAATAGACATAATGTGCTGAAGAAAAAAAAAAAACAAAAGACATAATGTTAGCTGAAAATCTAATCTTAAGTTATTAATTAGCCACCTAACGAAATGTCTCTGACACCATTGAGATTCTCCCTATAAAAAGGCACAAAGTTTGCAAGAGCCCTCCAAATCAAACAAGAACAATGGAAAACCATTTTGGAGTGCCCACCACAACCATTTACTCTAAGCCTAAACCTGGTCTAATCAAAGAAGAACAACAAGTTGAAGAAGAGGCCAGCTTGCTAGCTAGGAGGCTTTCAAACGCAGCCGCCTTCCCCATGGTTCTCAAAGCCGCCATGGAGCTCGGTGTCATCGACACCCTAGCCAACATAGACGATGGATTGTGGCTCTCACCTTCTGAAATAGCACTAAGACTCCCAACCAAACCTAGTAATCCCAAGGCTCCGGTGTTGCTGGACCGTATGCTGCGGTTACTCGCTAGCTATTCGATCCTAAAGTGCCGTAATGTTGTGGTAGAAGATAGCAGTCAAGCCAAAAAAATCGGGAGGGTATATGGAGCCGAGCCTGTATGCAAGTTTCTCTTAAACAGTAATGATGGCTCAGGCTCTTTTGCGCCTCTCATGATGATGAACCTTAGCGATGTCAACATTAAGACTTGGTACATTTTTTTTTTTGGAAAACTAACACATAAAATTATAGTTGATTAATCTTTTACAACAATAAACCATTACTATGACCATCTCACTAATTAATCTGGTTAACATTTACTATCAAAAGATCAATTTGACAATTTTATTCAACAGGAGACATCTCAAGGATGTAATACTAGAAGGAAGTGATGCATTCAGCTCTGCTCATGGGATGAAACTATTCGAATATTTGCAGTCGGATGAACAATATCGTAAGATATTTAACAAGGCTATGTCAGAATCTTCCACCATGGTTATGGAGAAGGTTCTAAAAATTTATGAAGGATTCAAAGATGTGAAGACTTTGGTGGATGTAGGAGGAGGACTTGGTAACACACTAGGTCTCATCACTTCGAAGTATCCTCATATTATGGGTATCAATTTCGATCTAGCTCCGGTTTTAGCCCATGCTCCTCCTTATCCCGGTATGAGTCATGTGATTACATTTTGTTTTGTTTTTTTTTTGTCATATATATATATATATATATATATATATATATATATATATATTATAGGTAGAAAATTAGCAGGTTTGAGGAAATTTATCACTACTCAAAATCCAATACACGTTTACTATAACTAAAAATTTCATTTTTATTCTCTTTATTATGATTGAAAATTTTAATTACTGTAGTTTTAATTATCAATACTTATATGCCTCTATCTAACAAGAAATTTTGAAAGAATAGGAGTTTGTAAATATTTCCAACAAAAAAATGTTAAGCTTGATTATTATTGTACGCATTAATCTTGCTGTTCATAAAACGTGACATCAGGACAGTTTCTTAAGTTTCGTAAAACTGTTGTTAGGTGTAAAACATGAAGCGGGAGATATGTTTATAAGGATTCCAAAAGGGGATGCCATATTCATGAAAGTAAGTCATATGGTAATTAATAACATCTCAACCAATAAACAAATACAATTCTGATTTTGAAGTTCTGAAGTCATATAACATTATGACAGTGGATCTTACATGATTGGACGGATGAACAATGCGTACAAATTCTTAAAAACTGTTGGAAAAGTCTTTCCATAAATGGAAAAATGATAATTGTGGAAATGGTTATACCAGAAGAAGCGAAGAGCGGAGGAGATATATGTTCGAACATTGTGTTTGGACATGACAATGTTAACACAATGTTCGGGTGGTAAGGAGAGATCTCTTTCAGAGTTTGAAAATATAGCATATGCATCAGGTTTTTCTCGTTGTGACATAGTATGTCCAGTTTATCCATTTTTCCTCATCGAAATCTATAAATAGATTCGACAATTACCAATAATACCCCCATTTTCCTATTTTCTATATGATTTGTGCAATGCTTTGTTTTTATATTTAACGCTTGTCAATTGTCATTATGTTTTTATTGTCTACGTTATGTAATGTTATGATCAGTGTGAATGGGTATAACAAAAGATTGTACTTCATAATTTGTATACGTCTAATAAGATAATTGTTGAAACAAAAACAATATCATGCTTAATTGCTCATGTCTAGGAAACGAAAATCTGGTTTTTCTGATTGCCATGTTACAAAGTCTGAGTCTGGGAGCACAATTTTAGGATTTGTGAGAGAAATTGTTAAAAATCTCCACATTACATTGGAACATCTGGATCCAACCTTCTCTGAATAGCAGCTGCACCCTGCAATGCATTAAGATTAAACCGAACATCAATGACGAAATCGAAAAATGAAAAAAATGAGGATGAAGAGAGGTATAGAGTTTTTGTATGTATCGAACCTCCATGTCCCCAATCTTGTACAAGTAGACCATTTCTTCCTTTAGCCGAGCTTGCTCTTTCATAGCTTGAGCCTGCCATTGGATGATAATCAACGTAAGAAGATTTGTGCAAGTAACCATATTATTATATTGACAAATGCAAACAGCGATGATTTCATAAACGATACTGACCATTCCACTTTCCATTGATCGCTTTAGAGCTATCACTTCTTCTTCCTTCTGCTTTTCGCGTGCTTCCTGCATCTCTAGCCTAAAAACAAGCACAAACAAAAACAGAGAGATCCTTTTTCTAAGTATTACTATGTATTGTTGTGACTCATGATGTAAAAGTAAGAATCTTTAGTTACCGGCGTTGTTCCTCGTCATTGAACACAGTTCGTTCACTCTTCCCAGCTTTCTTCAAACCCTTTTTCATCTCCTTCTCCAACTTACGTCTATAGTAACCATCAATGTCATAGTATCTACAAGATTCAGATAGATACCGACTCAACAACTTATCTTTCACCATAATAAAAACAACTACTCAACAATGTTTTACGCATATTGCATCCACAAGAAAAAGAAGCTTACTTTTTGGAAGTAAATGTACCAGTATTGTGATCTTCCATGAAACTGTGGAAGAATCAAAACATATTGATCAGAAACTAAAAGACCATATAAACATAAACTCTCGAGATTAAATCTAAATCACAGTACATACTCTTTAAACATTTTCTTCTCTTCCCAAGGTGGCAGGCTTTCCAAGTTAACCTGTAGGAGCAGACAGACAACCAAACTCAATTTGCTAAATTTTAGATTAATCGATTAAGACTTATATAAGGCTATAGAGAATGATAAATGTACCTCTTTTACTTCAAGCAACCATGCTGTGAACTCTGGTCGTTTATTCCTAACATATAAGCAATCAACAACTTCAATATCAAACTGTAATCAAGATTTCAATCTCCACAAAGACTCAACATTGTATAGCTCTATGTCAGAGCTCAAGATCTTCCAAAAAAAAAAAGACAGAAACTCTACCACATATCAGTTTCTCTGATGATTCCATACTTTCCCCATGATTCAGTGACGGCTCCTCTCTTCCCTTTCTCAGATTTCTTCTCCTTCTTCTTCTTCATCTCTTTTCTCTTCCTATCTCCATCAACTCCTTTCTCCTTCCTCCTCTTCTTCTTCTCTTTCTCTCGCTTCCTTCTCTTCCTCTCTCTCTCTTCCCTCTCCCTTCTCTTCCTCTTCCTCCTCCTCCTCTCATCCTCACTCTCACTCTCCTCAGAATCCGAGTATTCCGACGAATAATCCGACTCGGATTCCGATTCCGAATCCGAGCTGCTACTCGAATCATCATAGTGTTTCCTACTTCGTCTGCTCCGAGATCTCCGATCAGATTTCCTTTTCCCTCTCGATTTTCTACTCCTACGTCTCTCTTCCTTCTCCGATTCGGACTCGCTACCACTTTCCAAACCCGAACCTGAGTCAGACTCTTTGCCGTCTTTTGATTTCCTCTTGGATTCACGGCGACTCACATCTTCTTCCTCGCCGGAATCCTTTCCGGCAACGCTCGGTTTCCTCCGAGAATCTTTTGTTCTGTTGTCTCTATCCTCCACGTCGACTTTTGCGTTCTCCGGCGGAGGTCGGTCGTGGTCTTTTCCCATCTCCCTAAATCGCCGGCGAGCTATCTCGACCCTGGGAGCGTTCGAAGGTGTAATGAAACGTTTATAATCCCAAAGGATTGGGCTGTGACTGATCCAAACCCATCATAAAAAGTGATTGATCCAAGCCCATTGTAAAAGTGGTTGATCCAAGCCCTATAAAAAACATAATGGCGGAATGGCGAAAAAAAACCTGCGAAATGAAATAAGCAATTTAATCACTTTCTGTTTAATGGATTTTTTTTTGTATTTTTATTAAGAAAAACGTAGTTTTTCACCGCTCCTTCGCAGTTTCGGTTTGGATTATGAAATTTCAAAACATAATTTTTAAACTGCGTTTTCGCGTTTTATTTTTCATTTCGCAAATTTTTTTTGATTGGCAAAATTTTAAATCGCGTTTAAAAACACAATTCCACAATTCCGCTTCCGCAGATTACCAATGACAGTCAAAATATAAAATTATTTCGATGACACCGTTAATTAATTAAATAGACATCCGTCAAAGACTTATGGTGTTTCTGCAAGAACATGATAAATATGGAGAAATTGCCGCTAATTACATTGAAGACATTGGAGATCTCTGCATTTGTTTCTGTCAACAATGAGACATTTTGTGTGGAGACGAAACAAGTATCCTGGACCCAATATATATCTATACTTCTCAATCTGCCTCATTTTTTATTTTGTTTTGTTTTTAGACTAATTGTAACATCCTTGAAAGTTTACTTAATGAGACTGTGTTTGGTATTTGGCTTTTGTTTTCCAAGAGGAGAGCTAAATTAACAAAAAAAACGACAATATGTTCATATGTTTCTGTAGCATACAAAAAGGTCAGGGATATACATGCACAACTATGTAGAGTATAGTTCAGGAGGTACAACAAAGACAATAGGCCTGCCACTATTGACTTTAATTAATAATTACATACAGCTCTTTGATCAAGCAAGTTATGTACAACACAGACTGCACAAAAACTAGAGCTAGAAGAACTAACAACAAGTGACTCAGAACAAAAAAAGACAGAGGAGAATGCAGCAGAGGAAGAAGATTGATACCCGATGCAGAGATTTCTCTAGCTGCACCATTCTCTGGTTGGTGTTCTCGTTGTTGGATCGCGCGTATTGGTAAGGACGAGCTAAAGTGTTTGTAAGTGTTCCAAATATCCTCGTGTAGACCATGTCACCAAACATTCCTATAACCGGGTACAAGAAACTCATCATGACTGCATTGGCGAGATCAGTGGATGATTCCGTTGCAGCTAAGCCACCGTAATGAAGACGAGGAGACTGAGCTTGATGGTGATGTTGCAAGCTCGGGTTGAGATGTGAAGCTGGATGGATCAGACTGTTTAAAGGAGACGAAGCCGGTCTTTGAGGAATCATCGTGGTTTCTGAATCAGAAGAAGAGGAAGAAGACATGCCTCTTCCGTAAAGAGGAACTAATGAACCGATGGAGATGTTGGATTTGCAGACAGGGCAGTTTTGCTTTTGAATAATGGAGACAGGAGATGATTTTTGCACATCTAACCATTTGTAAATGCAAGGCCAGCAGAAAAGATGACCACACAGAGTGACGATTGGATCGTGTGCCGTTTCGAGACAGATGTTGCAATCGAAACAGCCGGTTTCGTTAGAGTTGACTTCTGTTGGGACCGTGATGTGATTAGGCTTTTGTGTCAGTACAAAACCATCACCATGTGCTCGTTGCGCATCGAATCTGAAGAAGTTGCCTTCCATAGGGGTTAGTAAGATCCTGATTCAGGGAAAACACAATAAGGTCATAAGCTAACTATCACTCTCACTAAACGGTATGCATAATATGCACAGGACTCTACGAAACGAATAGCCATAAAACATTTGATATTGAAAACAACACTAATCCACTACAGAGACGGCTTTAAAGTTCAAAGTAAAGATACAGAGTTAGGTCACGGAATAGCTCACAAGATGCAGAGATTCACAATAGAGTCATGATGAAGAATTCGTATATCTAGTAAAGTAAAGTCCAGAACTTTATGAGAACCCAACAGCAGAGAAAAAAAAACTCTTGAGAATGAAAATAGAAAGTTATGTCAGTGAAGAGCTCATAAGAGGCAAGAGATTCATCAAAGGGAAGCTATATCTAATAATCATACAAACTTAAATGCCTATCTTGCCTTTATGAATTCTGTGAAATGGTGATTTTTTATCATCTAACTCAGAATCTGATGAAAATAAACGAGATGTTAGAGATAAGTATTCCATAAAGAAAGAAAAAAAAGCCATTGATTGATCTGATTTGACTAATAATGTCGAAAGATCAAAAATTCTAAGCAAGTCAATCACAATGCAAAAATTATGTCTGAAAAAACTTCAGATTAGGGAACCAAGAAACTTCATTTACGATTCCAAGCATATCATTAACGATGAAAAAAAACAATTATTTCTCCTTTTTTTTTTTGGTCGAAAAAAACCAATTATTTCTCCTAAATCCAGAAAATTGGAGGGTTACCAATCGGATGAGAATGGATGCGGATAAATCCTCAGATGAGAGAACTCACCGTGTCGGAAATGAACGAAGAAGACGACGATTATACCGCGAAGGAGAAGGCGGAAGAAGAGGAATCTCAAAGGGATTCGAAGATTTTGAGAGAGCAAGAGGTAAAGGTGATTTCCACGTAGGCTTTTTAAAACGATGATCGATAATGATGTTGATGTTAGTGACGACCACGAACACGATAATGATTGACGACTTGTTCTTCGTCTTTTTAAGATTAGTTTATACCGATATTTTGACAATATAATCCAAGATATTATGAAAATAAATATTTTTTTTTTCAGTAAGGAAAAAGATAATGCTAATCCTAAAATCATTTTCAGCTTTCCCTGCAAATCTCTCTAATCATTCCTTCTAATAGCACCGAACACTTGAAATTAAATATGAAACAAAACAAACTGTATAAACAAAAATAAAAACTAAACAGAGCAATACCAAAATTGTTGAAAAATGACATCATTTAATTTTAGATCCTACCCAAAACTGATGGTAAATTTTTAATTTGTTACAACAGCATTAGATCTGTTTTTACCAAATTATAATTTACACCGAAAGCCTCTATCCGAGACAGAAGCTTTCTGGTTTCAATGGAAAAAGACTTCTTTAGTAGCTTCAGCTGAATTGGCCAGCATTAGTCGCCGCCGTTTCATGCTTCAGACTCATTCTTCCGTCGTCTTTTGTTCGAACTCGTTTCTTTTTCTTCTTCCTTTGCCATTTTCTTCTTCATCTTCTGCTTCCTCTTTCGAGCAGCGTATTTGCTCGTGCTCGTACTCATACGAGGAGTGACTACTACTGGAGTAATGTCTCCATTCGCAGTGTTCCCTCTTGGGGACGAGCCTTCCTCGTCTTTTTCCTCTCCATCCAACATCTTCATCTTGCTCTTCAGCCTCTGCCTCCTCTTCTTTCGAGCAGCGTTTTTGATCGTGTTCTTAGCAGGAGTGACTCTTACTGGAGTAATGTCTCCATTCGCAGTGTTCCCTCTTGGGAACGAGCCTTCCTCGTCTTCTTCGAGTTGCCAATTGCAGAAAAGCCCGCCATTGCTTTTACCGTTACTCGCCATTGGCAATGGCTCTCCTGCTCCGGGAAGCAAGCTGTTAAAAGTGACGTCCCCGTTTTTCCCACCTTTGCGCTCTAACAAGAGCCGGTCTGGTCTGATTATTGTGCCGAGAATGCTTCGGTTTGGTCCTAATGCTAGAATAGCTTCCGCGTTTGTTAAAGTAGACAAAGCCATTGCAAAGGCTGATCGAATCTGTATAGTAGAAACCGTCATAATGAGTATATGTTAATCATCTTACTTTGTTAATAAATTAGAGAAGGGAATAGAACCTGATAATAGTTGAATGAGCTCTTGCCAAGATCATTCTCTGGTGCCTGATTATCCAACATAAACAAATAAAACCATGTTAACCTTTTGTCGAATAAATTCCAAGTTTCTTGTTTATAAAGAAAAACAGAGCTGGAATCTGACCTGTGGATCCTCGATAGAGAGGAGCCCTGGCCGAGCATCGTTCAGGAAACTGGGGAGACAACAAACGAAAAAGACAAAAAAAAAACATATGAATGTACAGACACAACAGGTAGAGGTGGATGTTTCAGGGGGTTTAGATTAGCTGGTTAAGATGAGTATCAAGTAACTAAACTCTCCAGTGTCGTTTTAATTACTTACCCTTTGTCGGACTTTGAAAAGAAAGAACCTCCCTTTTTGCAAGATACACCTACATCTGCGGTGTTTAATTTTCGCCCGTAAAAATCAAAGAATTTAACCTACAGTGAGGAAAAAAAGAAGAATGATATATTTGAGCCAACAAATGAAGCCAATACAATCAAAAGCTTCAAGTTGCAATGAAAAAAAAAACATACCAATAGAACTCCTAAGTTATGCTCTGGTGGGCTTCGACCATCCTTGAGGTACTGTCTCATAAAAGAAACAAAGATACAAAAATAAGCTCGGTTTAGAGATGTTTTTGTTGGCGGCAAGTGAAAATATCTGGTGATGTGAAAATCAAGTAACCACTTTTACCTTGAGAAATGCAATGATCATTGCTATAAGTGCATATGAACTAATTCCACCTTTGTACACCTGCAAAAGATATTAAAGACAAATATTTTAATGGTGGTCACTGTGAAGAAGGATGATATATATTAAAGAAAATTAAACTATTTCCAGACCTCATTGAGTTCTCTCTGCTGTAGAAATACTTTCAAAATTAAACATAATGGTCGTAGAGGAGGAAACCTTAATACAGCATCCTGAAAAATAATCCAAGATTTATCGTGAGATTACGCAGCTGGTTAACAAGTATTAATTCAGCTGAAGTTCACAAAAATTCTGAGAAATATCTTGAGCAACAAGACCTGATTCAAAAAGGGGAATAAGTTTCACCAAATTAGAAATGTACTATCACAAACCTGTATAAACTCAGCTGCCTTTGGTCCGTTATCCATATCAAAACTGCAAAGCCAGTGCCAAACTTAATAATTCATACTAACTAAATTCACAAAGTCATATGTGTGTGTATATATTTTCTTCAATTCACAGAGATTTATCAAGCATAAACCACGAAGCTTTTGTAAAGGAAAATAGGCTAAAAATTCTAAGAAATCAATCTGCTAACAATCTATTCAAGGAAAAAGCAGACCGGATCTGAAAGGGAAGCTAGCATGTAAATAAAAATAAGAATAACCTTAGATCAAACGAAATATTGCTTTTCTTCTCGACAAACTTGATAATTGGTACACGAGCCTTAGCAATCACCTACACAATTAAAGAGCTAATTAATTATGAGACACGGTCTCTCTGAGATACTGCCATATTATGAAAGAGAGTAAAAGATACCACAATATTCGTTGCAATTTTCTTTCGCGACAATGCCTTACGGAGTGCTTTTAGACCTAGTGGAGGACTGATACCAGATTCCAGAATGACCACCTTTTTATACAACCAAAAGGGAAAAGATTTAGAAATGAAAAATCTCTTCAAGCACAATATTTTACAGGCAACTAACTTTGACGATGAAAAACTGTACAGTCAGAAATAGACATAATCAGACGATACCGGCATAGATCAACATGTTAAGACTCATTCTTAAGAAAGTGCTTAAGCTCAAACTTCCTCATTCTTGTTAATTATTATCACATAATCAAAGATGCGAAAGATTAACACTTACATCAATATCACTTGTTGGAAGATAAAGTCCTGTCTTGTATGATCCGAAAACCTCGACCTGCAAAAGAGAATAGGCAGGAATTTAGAGAATACGGTTTACTCAAAGAGAGAAAACTTGAGGTTTTCAAAGGTTTTACCTTGCAATTTGGCCAGATATATTGAATAACACTTCTAACATTGTCCATTGCTTCATCACGCTGCGCTTTCTCTTCTTGAGTTGGTGACAAAAAATCGGAGAAATCTACTATCTCTACAACAACAAGACCAAAACAGAGAAAAGCTTCTCAGCAAGTTTTCAACACCAAAAGATAGAAATCACTGTTGTATAATACCATTTAGCTACTTCAACAAAAACCTCAACTTTGGAAGGATTTTTGTGTTTCCACATTACCTTTATGCAATTGAAGCATTGGGATCTTAGAGAAGCTATCCTCACTAAACCAGTTAGTCTCTAATCTGCGTTCCTCAGCTTCTATTTCTTTCTTCCTCTTCCTGCTCTTCTTCGCCCTCACAAACGGCGTCACTAACTCGCCGCCGTTCTCATTCATCCCGCCGTCGACGTCCAGTGAGAAGAAATCCACCGTTTCTGATTCCACCGGCGTGGTATCGACGGTGAGATCAGAAATCTCGTTGCGGAAGACAGAGTAGCGGTGAGAATCTTCATGCGGTTCTGGAGATTGATTTGACGGCGGAGATTGATTCGAATCTGAGAGAGATAGTGGGGTAAGAGTATCGTATACAAAAACTGGAGCTTCCGTCTTAGCTTGAGACTCCATTGGAGATTGACGGGAGCTAAATTTAGGGTTTAGGGTTTCGAAGCCGCCGGGCAAGAGATACAAACCCAAAAAATATGTCCGGAAAGAAGAAGGAAGCAAGGGGCAAAAAAAAATTAATTTTAATAATTTTTAAAAAGGGGGAAAGGAAAAGTTTGGGGAAAATAATTTTATAATTTTCTGTTGGGCGTATCAAAGGAGTAAAAACAAAACACACCATTAGAGTGTAATAAAATTTTCAAAAAGAAATAAATAATGTAGCAAAATGGTATTGCTTAACTTATACATTTTCTTCCATAATGTAATTTTTTTTTATATATACAAAAACAACAGAAATGGAAAAAGAAAATTGTATGCATAATGAATTTAGGTTTGGTTTGGTTTGGTTTTGTACAAATTTGAATGTTTTTTTAATATTGCAATCTAATATTAGTACATCAAATACAGAGAGTACTGTTATTACTAGACTTGAGAGACTTGAATTACTTTCATTTTGTTACAATGCGAATGTTGAAACCTTTTGAATTATTATTACATCTATGTATCCATGTTTCATTGAGAGACATCTCGAGAGCTAAAGAGGACCTTATGTTTTCTCCTAAAATTACTCCTACACTCAAACATGTATATATCAGTCTCTTCTCACTGGCAAAGAAGATGATCTCGAGAGTGGTTCTGTTCTTAACTCTGGAGTCGTTGCAGAAGAAATGGAGACACAAGGTCGAAGAAGAGGTGTTCCAACTCTACTTGAAGATTCATTAGGCACACAAACAGACCCGGTACGAGGTTGGATAGGCTGCAACTCAAGCTCAATACCTTGTTGTTGCTGTTGTTGTTTTTGTTGTTCTTGATAAGTTTCAGCAACATCAAGCACCTGATGATCATATTCTTCGATAGATGCAACCGTGCTTGTCTCTGTTCTAACAGTTGAATCATCTCCGTAATACCCATGCCTTCTTTTCTTTCTGGTCGCTTTTCCCCAACCTTGAATCGTGTCTCTTATCCTCTGAGGTATTAGAGCCGCTTTATAATTCGTTCCCATCTGGAATCAAACAGATGAAACAATCCATTACAGAAACTGTCACAAAAATCGAAAGCTTCCAATGGACTTTCTCAATTACCTGAGCGACCAATGCATATAGTGGCAGTGTGCTATAGCTGCATAGAAACTGTCCAGCAAATCTACAAAGAGGAAACCAATAACATTATAAACTATGATACGTATGCGCAACAATCTCGAGGCTGCATGGGGAAGGAAAACAAAAAGGTTTGATTACCCTAAAATAAGTCGGAAGTAAACAAGGAGATGATTCTTAAGGAAGCAAGAGTTGTAACCAAACTGCCACTGAAAGAAAATCAAGAACAAATGTATTGTAAGTTCCAAAACAAAATTTTGAAGTCTGCAAAAGATCATTGATTATGGTTCATTTTTCATACCCAAAACCAGAAGAAGGAAGCCAATTCAAACGAATTCTGTTGGAGACAGAAAGCAATTAGTTGTATGTTATTAACCAAGACAGGAAAATTGTTTCGTTAGTAAAGATTTTGCAAACCTGGAATAGAATGAAATGGATAAGGGACAAGAGTAGTTCTGGTTTATTGAACCAGAAAAGTTCATCACGAGGTCTCAGCTTCACTCCCGAGGGATATTCTGTTAAACCATCATTCTCCAATGCCAATGTTGCTATTACGTGTTGCAGCTTGGCACCAACCAGAAGAACAAGCTGGTCAAAATGGGATTGAAAATTTTACTTAAGCTTACAATGTTTCAAAACAGAAAGCAGGGATTGCTGAAAATGAAAATGTAGTTCTTACAGTAACAGGAATGATTGCTATCCAGAAATAGAGATTCGATCCTGCAGTACCAAGAGGCAAGGTTTTAAAACTAATCTTATAATATGAAGAGTTCTCACTATTGAACTTAAAGAAAACAGAAATGAGCATATATCTTTTGGTTTAGAGACATACCTTTTATGTTAAAGAGCATGAAAGCAACTACGAACCCCCAAAGCGGTCCACTGCAGAAGATCATTGAAGAAAATTTCCTCAGTCAGTAATTAATGCATAGTGAAGTAGTAAGAAACAAGAGATGATCTCAGAGCTTGATAGATATAAAGCTAAGTGGATATACCACACTATGTTTCTACAAGATAAGGTAGCTCACCTTACACCAACGATCCTTTGGAACTCTTCCTCCATAGAACGAATCATGTAGCTGTGAAAATCGTACTTCAATGTGAGGTGGTGATTCTGCTCATAGAAGAAAACGAAAACAGCACCAATGATATATTATTTTTCATTTATCATTAGTTGAAAACGAGAGTAGAAAGACCAAATATTCATATGGCACAGATTATCACCCACCACAATGAATCCCTTGCGGAGTGTAAGATAGTCAGAACGCACAACAGAATGTCCAAATTGTTTGAAGAAACATGTCTGCAAGCACAAAACGAAGACATCTCGAATGTATTGGAACCAATAATTCAAACAATATCTACTCCATGATTTCAAAGAACCTAGCTTGACAAATAGATTGATCTCCATCTAAAGAAAGGAGGTGACAACCTACCACCCATATAAGCAACCTATTCTTGGCCAGAGGAGCAGATGTATGATACTGGACAAATGTTTCTTGCCTTCTGAATACTTTTTCCCTTGCCACAGCTGCCACAACAAAACAAATAATCGATATTTCCCTACTTGAGACATGAAATTTTACTGAATAATCAAAGCCTTGAACCGCAACAATCAAGCAAGCAAACAAAGCACAATGCTAAAGAAACTTGTTAAACAGCATTATAATTATGCCACTGTGAATTAGTAGTAACATCACTTAATAATGGTGCAGAAGGAATCTTTTTTTGCTCACCAGTTAAGCAATCGTGTCGATCCATACGAGCTACATCTTCCCAGATCCTCCAACTATGAATCTGCATAGAGAAGCATGCCAGTAAGAAAATGTTAATCACAGAGGATATTCACAGATCAAAACAGAGAAGACAAAACACTATTGAAGATAGAAATTCAGCTGAAGAAAAGATTCTACCTTTACAATTGCAAGGAGCATGGTCAAGCAGCTGTAAGTTACATGTGTAACTGCCATTATAAAGATGAAGCGATGCAACTGTTCCAGGCCTTCGTATGAAACAAAGGGCTCATGTCCCTGCAAGATTGAATTTAGTCCCTAAAGAAATGACCAGCAGAGTCTAATGCTAATGATAATGCTAAAACATTTCTGTAAATTTAAGTTCTAATGAATGGATATACCTCGCTGCAAGTAGCATGGTTAATGCCTTCCAACCTTCTCCTAAAGACGTTGAAAAAAAGGGATTTCGTTAAAAGATTCCGCTTGACAGATGATTCGTTCTCAGGCTCCTCATCAATCTCAGATCGTGTACACGGAACAAATCTGTCGTTGTAGAAACTTGAAGGGACACATATGTTGGCTATTGTGCTAGAGGTAGCTGTAAGAAGAAGTGATATGAAGCCAAGAAGCATCAACTCTGAAAAAACAAATACCATTTCGAAAGCATTTTAGGAAACCAAAGGATCATTAAGTTTCATTCAAGAAGCTTTTGTTTATCAAAAAAAAAAAAAAAAACCTTGTTTCATCTTCTCCAATGCAGCAAACAAAGGTTTCCTCTTTGTCTTCCTTAACCACTGGTTATAAAACGATTAAGAAAAGGTTCAAGATCATGAAGAAACAAAATGATTCAATGTGGAGTGTTCAAATGGAGGCTACTCAGTACTCACAGTGCTTAGACGGAAAATGGAGCGCTCAACGATTAAAGAAACAACAACGAAGACAGTCAACACTAAAGCAACAGACCAAGTAGGCGATAATGCCAAAGATCTCTCATTTGGCTCTGCTTCGTTTTCTTCTCCTTCTCCCATTTCTTCAAATCGGATTCTTCACGCTCACGAGCTCCTCTCAACAAAGCAACTTCTTCGCCGTGGAAAGTTTCGATTTTTGGGAAGCCAAAATCACATTCCTTGATTATATTACCAGTGATTTGAGAAATGCTGTTTAAAAATCCAACCTTTAAAACCCATCAAGCGTTCTCGGAGAAACAACAATCGGACCCAGTAATCTAATTGACTAAGAAAAACAGAGATTCTACTCCGATTGAAACCCAGAAAGAAAAAAAGCTTGAAATTTCTCTGGTAAGGTTTTTCGACTATAATGAAAACGGAAAAGCCTGGAAAAATCAATAAATCCACCGTCCTTTAACGCCGCCGGTATAAATTTCTCTCAGACGATCACCGGAGAAACTGAAATTAGTGGAGATTCGATCACCGGCAGAGCAACACCTTGATGAAGAAGCTCGTTGAGAGAGAGAGAGAAAATGTGAAGAAGAATTTGGATTCTAGAAAGTCGAAATTATCAATTTTTCACTGTAGAAAATCTAAAGATGTTCATGTGCAGTCATGGTTAGTTGTAAAATTGTTTGTTTTGTTAGGAACATTAGCCGACCAAACGAAAATAATAATAAATGTTGACAAGAAAAAAAAAATTAAAGAAAAGGTAGGAAGAACCAAAAAGGAGGAAAGGTCAGAGAGCGAAGATTCGATTGATACTAAAGACAACCTTCCTCACATGATATTTTGATACTCTTCACTTTTCACTCACATGGGACCCACTTCATCCTCACTTATTTTTGGGTCTATTTTTTTTCTTCTAAGAATTTAAACAATTAGCAGATTAAATATCTAATTTAGTGAATATCTCTTATTTTTCTTTTAGCTGGAATGTTCATACTATAATTGTACATAGTATAATTTCAAATTTCGAGTCTCCAATCGTATTATAGATTGTATGTATAAATTCGTTTCTCATGTGACTATATAAATCTACACTGAACTTTTTAATTTGTTTTTTCTTCTCGAAAGTATCGTATAATTAAACAATAATGACGATTAAATAAGCTGTCCATCTCTTTAAGAAACTTAGCTGGAAGTGGAAGCTACCTAATGGCAATAAATGCATTTGAATAATGAGGTCTTGAAAATCCCATTTATTTCTTTTGTTAGTTTATACTACTCCACTAATATTCAACTATTGTTAACAATTCTAGCTAAAAAGTGACGTATCTCTTGCATGGACGATTAGGCAAGCGTGTGAATCCCCATGAAAATAGAAAGAGAAAGCGAAAATCCGCAAGAGATTTCGACGAGGGCTCCACATTAGTCTTTACTTCTAGTTACTAACTTTACAAGTACAAATTTCAATCCATACGTGTGCGTGCATGCCAACAAATAAAGAACTGAAAATAGAGAATTTGTTAAAGAAGTAGATAAACAAATAAAGAATTGAAATTCAAACTGAGTTTTCCTAATTTTTCAAAGCCTTTGATTTAGCTTTCTCGTTTCCGTTTTTATGGGTTTGCATTTGTCCTTGCGTGCGGCCCATACATTCTCTGTAGATGGAGTAGATGACTTAGACAGACATTAGACAACCTTTTGGGCCATATCAAAAGAAGTGATCTTTGTATACCACACTCTAAATTCGAAGACACGAAACTTAACCATTTACGTTTTGATCTTTCAATCTTTCGGTGATGGATCAAGCCGCTTTGTCCAAGGCAATATGCAATGCTCCACAACCTCCAAATTTTATGAGGCCTAGTTGTAAGTGTTGAGATATTGTGCTTCTTCTCTACGGTGTTTTGGGAGAGGAGTTATAGATATTAAGTAAGACGTTGGCTTCTTTCAAGGTCAGCTACTTAAGTCGCTATCTAAGTCTGCTTATATGCACCAATTATGATCCTTTGATATTTTAGGTCTAATTGTTGAGCATTAGAGGAATAGAGATGAGTGGAATTGGGATGATATAGGAATACTTTTAATTTGTACCACTTGTTCCTTTTGAAAATAGTAGAGAAAGAACCTTTTTAAAATTTTGTGAACAAAATCAGTTTTTCTTGTGGAATTGGGTGTAACTTTTTTTTTATGTGTTTTCATAGTAAATGGTAAAATTTTAGAGAGATACCTAGTTCTACCAATTTTTGTTTCTCTAGTAATGCATCCATTTGCACCCAAAGAATCAAGAGCAAAATTGGATCTTCGACAGCAAAATACTTATGTTTTACAGGAAGAGTAGAAATGTTCATACTGCCAAATTAAAGAGATGCTTAAATATTTCTAACTCGGTGAGTGGAGCGTTTCTTTGAAAACCACCATTTCTTTGGAACACACTCTTGAAGGACAACAAGTTGCTAGAGTAGCTTGTGATACAATCACTACTTCAAAATCAGAACAAAGCTTAGGAGTAAAACACTTGGAGGTTTGGAATAGTATTATCCAAGTGAGCTGTGAAGTTGGTGTCGAGGAGGTGTCGTGTTAGTCTGACCAGATCTTCTCAGTGTACTGACATATGGTTCCTTGTTTCGAGATTATGTTGACAGAGAATACATGTAGTATTCGCACCAGACGGTCACTAGTCGCGAGGCGATCATGGACTGCAAGCCCCATTAGGCCATTACAAAAGAGTATTTGGGAATGGCGTGTGAATTTGTCATTAATTTAATCAACAATCAAGGGTATAGTTATACTACATATATCGTTAGTTCGTTACTAAGCGAACTTGTACATTGGCGCCGATTTACAACGCATCAAAACTTTTTAGTTATTGACTGAAATATACATTATTATGGTGTCTACCGTATAAAATACAAAAACTTGTCCTTGTTGGTCCAATTTGTTTTTTGGGTTGGGGGTGGGGGGGGGTCCAATTTTTGGGAGATCAACCACATGCAATGTATATGTACATAGATCCAAAATGATTAACTAGATAAGAAGCCCATAATACACATACTTATATTTATGATGTCTTAGAATTTGTATATGATGTTTCTTGATATTCTACTTTCCGATGATTATTTTTTATGTGCTAAAGACGTATCAAAAATTTCATATATATATTATACGAAATTTTTGGAACGTCTTTAGCACATTAAAAAAAACTATGAATGTTGCTTGTCATCAACAAATTTGCATACTCTGTCGGGTTTTAGCCTGGACTTGTATTCAATTTCCAAGATTAGATATTAAATGTTGAATACCTAAAATTTTATCTACTATTACTTAGTCATGAGTTGAAACTTCATGACACTTACCATTGTATCTAAATCCAAACACACTGTCTCAATCCAAACCAAAATTGTGCGATCCTACCCAAAAAAAAGAAAGAATCGGATCAACTCAACCAGTGAAATGAGATCATGGGCTATTGAAATTGGACCAATGACTATGGCAATAATTAATATACACATGAAATATACAAATCCACTTACTGCCAATATGTTATTACAGAAACTCATACGACCTTACATGTTCAAAACGTTAATTTAGCCTTTACTTGAAAAACCTCTGAGAAGTAACATAGTTAAAAAAAAAAAGGTCAATCAGGCCAATTATGCATTGGTCTCATGGAATACGTACACATGTGTATAGTCGAACAAAATAGATATATAATCATACCCAACTTGTGCTTAAAAAAGATTCTATTATGTATTTGCATTTCAACCACATTTCCTAGCTAAGCCGTGCTTAGATTAGTCTGAACCGTAGGATGTATATATAACACAATATCTACTGCTGTCAGACTCACAAGATATGATAATCTTCAACAGCCTTTAAATATTCAACCAACTCTCACCCTTTTTTTTATTTAAAGCAGTCAACTTTCACAATCAAAACGAGACAAAGACATACGAGAGGCACATATTTACAAACATGTACCAAACGCAATGGACGTTTCTGATATCACGTGGCGTTTGACCAACAGCGCGTTAGCAGCAAGCTGTACAAATCTACAACCAGATCTCGGTACATATATAGCCGTATTTCTATTTTGTACTAGTTAAGTGTGTATGTTGATTTGAAAAAAAAAATTAAAAAAACAAAACAAAACAAGAAACAAAAGTCAAATTTGTATAGTTAACTAAAGAGAATCAATCTCTCATTTTCTTCAATCAACATCACGATTCGTAACATACTCTTGATGGCTTTTTCTGTTTCTTTTGTTTCTATTATATTTTCAGTTAGATTCAATAATGTCTATCTTACAAAGCTTTTAGGCATGAGACTCATCAAATTTTGCATTCTTTAAGATTAGACTTCAGACCAAAGTTGCAGCTGATATACCGTGTATACGCGATCTAAGTACATTTTAACTTAAGTTTTTAACTGATTCAAGTTCTTCAATCTACAAAATAAATAATCTAGCAAAATTTCTTGAGTAAATCCAGCATATTCTAAAACGTTTTAATCTTAGTATGTGTTATAGGCAACCCATGAAAAGACGAATCTCTTGGTTAGCAATAATTCTTTTGGAGGAGAAATTGAATCGTTGTTCCCGAGTCATAATAAATTTAAGCTGTAACAAATATTATTACAACTATGGTTCATGTGTAAAGAGAGATTATAAACTCCAAGTCACAAGATTTAAGACTGTCACTGACATCCGAAAATCAAGATTCAAGAAACATGAACCGAAATGTTCCTCAAGAACTAATTTGTCTAAAAGGCATATTTCACCAGAAGAAAATACAATATTTTGCTTTTGGCTGGTGTTTAAGTAAATTCTAACAACAATAACAAAAAAAAAAAGCAAGACTGATTATCATCAATTGTGATCATCCAAAAATCTCTTAAAAAGTTTCAAAATATCAACAAAAGTAACCATACCAATCAAACAACCATCTTCATCAATCACCCACACATAACTCACTCTATGAGCAATCGCTTGTATCATCACCGCCATTAACGAGCTTTTCCGACTACAAACTATCGCCACCGACTTCCTCGCCATCCTCGCCGCGCTACTCACCGACCTCCCATACACCCCCATCCTCGTTCTCCCCGCCGGAGATTCCTCGTCCGACGACGAAGATCCCGACGACAACGAATCAACGAGTGAGATCAACCCAACCATCCCTCTCTCCTCAAGACGATTCCTTACGACTCTGACTAAACTCTCCGGCGGACCACTACCGTCGATAAACGACATCAGATCTCCGGCGGAGAGTGTTGCGACAGCTGCTGCGGCGGTTTCGTCGCAGCAAGCGAGCGTCATCGGCGAAATCTCGCCGATCAAAGCCGTTCTTGGATCTTCTTGATCGCATCCAGTGTCGACAACAGCGACGGAGATGTTATCGGAGATAGCGCGAGAGATGGAGGAGACGGCGGAGGCGGCGGAGGAGTGGTAATCGACGGAGAGGGTAGTGTGTGTGCTGTTGATCACGCCGAGATCGGAGATAGAGAGCGAAGGTAAAGGAGAGAAGACGCTAATGGAATCGAGAAGGAATCTGATTATGTCTTCTTGTGTGATCCAGCAGAATTGGCGGCTGTTCTTGTGGGTTGTTGTGGTGGTGGTGAGTGAAACGACGGCGTTTTTGCGAACCAGAAGCTTTTGTTGTCTTCTCTTTGCGATTGGTTTCGTCTGAATCGGAACAATCAGATTCTGAGCTCCTCTGATTATCAGATCGATAGCTTCAATTAACCTGAAAGAGATTCAAAAACCAAAACTTTAATTAAAGAAACAGATCGGAGAAACAGGAAATTGAGAAGAAAAAAAAAACCCAAAAGTCTGGATTTTTTTGTGGGCATTTACTTGCAGGAAGATTGGACATGAACGACGATGGAACGAGATTTGGGGAGAAGAAGAACAGAGACAGATGCGTCGAAAGCAGAGGAAAGAGACAGAACGTTGTTGTCGAATTTAGACAGGTAACAGATCACATCGGCCATACAGATCTTACCCAAACACTCGCAGTCGCACTTGTTTTTGTTATCTTCATCGGTTTCTTCGTGATTACAGCTCCAGACGCTGAGGAAAGGCTCGTCGGAGGATTTGAGTGCGGCGATGGCGTCAGCGACGGTGGCTGTGGCGGCGGAGAGACACCGTAGCGGTGGTTTGCCGATACAGAGGTCGGATACCTCGTGAGACAAAAGGGTTAGTGCCATACAAGAAGAATTTCAAGAAAAAATGAGAATTTGGTTTTCGCAAGGAAAATGTGGAGGAGAAAGAGAGGAGAGGAGAGAGAGTATTTATAAAAGAAGAGAGAAAGAAGAAGAAGAAGAGATGGGTACGGTGTAAGTACATTACAGAAACTCTGTTAAAAAGCTACTTGGTCTCTGTATAGTTGTGTACAGGTGGATTTTTTACCTTTTTGTTTGTTTGTTGTTGTTGTGTTGATTACAGATAGATTGTTTTTACTGTAATGTTTGGAAATTAATTAAATATTTACAAATGCTGACCAAGAACATTTTAGTGTTTCTTATTTGTTTGTTTGTTTTATGAAATGTTTTAGCCTAGAAAATTCTTTTACATTTTAGAAATGGTTGAATCTTCCCAAATTTTCCACCTATAATAATTTAACTTGCAAAATAAATCTGCATGTTCTAGATATCGAATTTAAGAATGTTATAGAGACCTTATTCAACAGTAGATTCCACCATTGCTGATTTACAAGATTCATGTCTTTTGTCAAAAAAAAAAAAAACAAAATGTTAGTCTAATTGGTGACTTCCTTATTCATAAGTCATAGCTAAATGGTAAATATGAAATGAATAGAGAAATAAAAAAATTATGAAATGTAAATGATGAATATAAGATATAGAAGATTATTACCATTCATTATAGTAGAGGAATATTTGTTGTTCCTAATTTTGTTCGTTCATTTTCATTATTTCAAGGAATCAAAGTTGAGTGTTTATCAATATATCACTGCGCAATGCATAAAATTTCAGCAAACAAGGAAGTACAATTCTATTATTTTTCATTTTCTTTAAAAAACTATATAATTATTCCATCCTGAGTGACTGGGTACAAAAAGGAATAAGGGTTCTAAGGAAACAAAGAGATGATAAGTTTGTTTACATATATTAGACCAGCTCCAACGCTAGGTAGTATGGGGTTCATTGAGAGGTTTATTGGGTATTTTTGGATTTAAAATAAAGAATAAAAACCCAAAATTGAAAGCAGCGGTGCTTTGTGATGGATCTGAAGCAGCGGTTCAGGAAGGGGTAAATTGGTCACGTGTTTTGTTTTTATTGGTTAAAACAGAAAAGAGAGAGAAAGTAAAGTTTAGGGATATCGTGTTTTTTTTTTTTTTTTTTTTTTTTTAGTATCATGTGCAAGAGGAAATGTTCGCCCTAGCCCAAAAACTCTCTCAACCCGCCGACCTGTACGGACAAAAATCAAGATAGCTTTGCTTCTTGTATTACCGACAGATCTGGCCTCCCTTCCTCCAACATTTCCCATCGAGTTGTGTTTCCTTTTCATATCTTTATTCTTCTCTTCCCCACTACTCAAACATCCTTAATCTTTCGTCCCCACCTTTTCTCCACATCTGTTCCCTCCTTCCCGACATCCTTTTTGAAGCTCGTTTCTGCAGTTTTTTTTCTTTTTTCTCGTTCCTCCTTGCTGGAAAATGTCGCGTACTCCCAAGGATAATGAAGGCCGCCGTTCTCCTTCAGATGAAGAGGACGAGCCCGTGGTGATTCCGGCGTTTGACACTTCTGCTCTCATAGCAAGGTTCTCTCTCACCCTCATTGGAAGGACTTTCCACGTTGGGGGTAGAAGCACTGAGGCTCTCTTAGCCTTCATGCCCAGATCTGACATTTGGGACGTTGCCGGAAGAGTCAGAGGCGTGGATCTAGGTCATGGTCGCTTCCACTTTGACTTCGAATCTGAGGAGGACCTGCAGAAGGTTCTGAAGAAGCGACCCTGCCATTTCAATAAATGGACATTCGCCCTTGAGAGGTGGGAACCGAACATTCAGGAAGATTTTCCCAACTCAGTTACCTTCTGGATTACTGTGCGCGGTATCCCTCTCCACCTGTGGGTGAAAGATGTTTTTCAAAGGATTGGCGACTCTCTTGGTCTGGTTAAAGCGGTCGACGTCAAAGAGGGCAGGATCTCGGTTTCTATCGATGTCACCCGACCCCTGAAGTTCAAGAAGAAGGTGCAGTTCAACCTGACTGAAAAAGTTACCGCCTCACTGGAGTACGACCGTCTTTACCGCTTCTGTGGCAACTGCCACATGATTTCTCATGAGGAAGTTACTTGTCCTCTCCTCTCTGACCCTGCTCGTCGAAGAAACAGAGAGTCTAGGCGGACACCACTCCCTGGGGATAACCGGCGTGTTCATGGTCTCTCCTCTGAAAGAGCTCCAGCTCGCGCAAAAACAAGGCTCGAAGACAGACCAAGTAGATCTGGTGGCGCATCCTCACACCGTGAAGGAAGCAACAGACCAGTGGAGAACCCGACATCTCTCCCGGAAGCTGTCACTCTGGTTCCCTCTCGTGGCCTCCCTCAACGATCAGAGACAGCGTAGAGAGAGCGTAAAGATGACCAGAGACATCCTGTCCGACGGAGCTTGTACAGTGGCGAGGAGAGAGAGCGTAAAGATGACCAGAGACATCCTGTCTGAAACCGCATTAGCGGAGACCGTGACCCTCGACTTCCCCGCCATCGGGAGCAATCATCTCAGTCCTCCGCTGGCTCTCGGAAGAGACGCCCTTATGAGTCCGCCGCTTCAAGCGCCGAGGTTAGGCGGGAGCCACACCGGAGTGGAGGTCATCGGGTTTTCTCTAACCGGCAGAGGAAAGGTGATTCGGTTCAGCGCCAACGGTCTCCTCCATGCATCGACCCTAGTTTTGAGCAATGGGGAAACTCACGACCTCCTCGACACGAGTCAGGCATCTGTATTGTCGAGCTGTCTTCCCCTCCACCACCAGCCTCGCGATCCCTGGCGCCTCAAGACAAAGGGAAAGGAAAAGCTGTTGCCGAAGACGACGAGGAGGATGCTAATAGTGATATCGGGGATTTTGAATCCTCTCCAAAACTCCTTGAGATTGGATCTGCTTCGGGAGATATTCACTCTCCACCATTTGGTGAGATCATTCCTGCTTTGGAGGTCACTCCCATGGATTTCCCTGCTGATAAAGAGCCGGAGAACGACGAAGTGCGGAGTATGTTTGGCAACGAATCTGTTCCGACAGACTGGGAGGATAGAGTGGATGCAACGGCGGAGGATACAGAGCTGACGGAGGAAGACATGCGGATCCTGGACGAATGCTTGATGATGACTGAAGGAGCAATGGAGGAGGACGATCTATTGGGCGAAGACTTAGCAGCTGAGGAATTTGCGGTGAGCTTGGAGCATACAATTTCTGATGTTGTGGTGCCAATCTCTCACTCGCCTGCAGTGACCCCTGCCATTTCTCCATCCCCAACCAGCAAAAGGGTGAGATCTCCTGATCAGTCTCTCGCAAGGAAGAACCAACGCTCTTCACCTCACGCCCGACATGAGAAAATGCAGGATAAGAAGAAAAAGATTCCAAGGAGCCCCAAGGTGAATGCTGCTGTGTCAAAGAAGCTTAAACCGTATCAGAGTAAGAGTCCTCCGAAGAAGCGTTATGGGGGGAATGCAGCTCCATCGACATCTTCAACAGCTGCGCATCAGGCTCGCAATGCCCGCAGGGTGGCGACACCAAACCCCGTACCTGTTATCATCCCAAAAGCTAAGATCACCGACGACAACAAGAAAAAAGACGGTTTGGAGGATTCCCGAGCTCCTCCCAAACCACCCAAATGAGGATTCTTGCATAGAATTGTCAAGGGGCGGGAGCTGAGCTTACTACTCGTCGACTGGAGGAACTATGTAATAGATATTCTCCAAGTTTTATGTTTTTATCAGAGACTAAGAATAATCACTTTTTTCTGCAAAATATGCAAGTTAATCTAAGATTTGATAGCCTCCTTACTGTTGACCCATTATGGAATAGTGGAGGTCTTGCTCTCTTTTATTCTAAGGATTTTCCGGTTAAGATTTTACATCAGGATGATCATTTGTTTGATGTTGAGACAATTATTGACGGTAATCGAGTTTGTATGTCTTTTGTTTATGGTGACCCCGTTGTGAAAAACCGAGAATACGTATGGGAACGTTTATCCCGAATAGGCATTTCCCGAAATGAGCCTTGGTTCATCATCGGCGACTTTAATGAGATTACTTGTAATCATGAAAAAAGTGGTGGCAAAAAACGTTCAGAAGCCACCTTTCTTCCGTTTAGGGCAATGATTCAGAATTGCGGAATGATTGAATTTCCCTTTCAAGGAAACCCTCTCTCTTGGGTTGGAAGGAGAAGAAATGGTGTCATTAGATGCAGATTGGATATAGCCTTAGGCAATGAAGATTGGCACAACATTTTTTCCCATACAAATGTGGAGTACTTGAAGATGTGGGGTTCAGATCATAGACCAATGATCGCATATATTGATAATTCTCCACCAATCCATTATAAGAGATTCATGTTCGACAAACGATGGATTGGTAAACCCGGTCTAGAAGACTCCGTGAAACAAGGGTGGGGAGAACCTTTGGCACAAGTACATGGCTCCTTTGTATGTCGCATTAGAAAATGTAGACAAGCTATTTTGGTGTGGAAGAAAGGATTAATCACGAACTCCCAGAAGCTCATTGAGCACCTACAAAACGAGCTAGACAATGCGGCAGAGGATGATAATGTCTCCTTGGAGGACCTTTTGGCTATTAAGAAGCGTTTATGTGAAGCATACCGCGAGGAAGAGTTATACTGGCAACAAAAAAGTAGAGCGCTTTGGCTAAGAGATGGTGACAAAAATACAAAATTTTTTCATGCCACTACTAAGCAGAGGAGAGCTAGGAATAGGATTCTTGGACTTCTAAACCCAGAAGGGGTATGGGTGGATAATGAGAAGGGCGTCGAGTCAATCGCTATTGACTATTTCGATTCGCTATTCACCTCCTCGGCACTGAGAGACCCAGCGGCGGTATTAAAAGACATCCCCGTAAAGATCGACGCAGCAATGAACGAGAGGTTGACACGGGAGGTATCGGAGGAAGAGGTAAAACGGGCTCTATTCTCCTTGAATCCAGGGAAAGCCCCTGGCCCTGATGGGTTTACAGCCCTCTTCTTCCAGAAGTTCTGGGAAATGATCAAGGCTGACCTTGTGCAGTTGATAAAAGACTTCCAAGACTCGGGATCGTTCGCTGAACACCTTAACGAGACAAATATTTGTCTTATCCCTAAAGGTGACCGGCCCCGAGAGATATCTGGTTTTAGGCCAATAAGTCTATGTAATGTTGGCTATAAGATTATTTCGAAGGTCTTGAGCTTGCGTCTGAAGAAACTACTTCCGGAACTGATTTCCGAGACCCAATCAGCCTTTGTAGCAGGAAGATTAATTACAGATAACATCCTTATTGCACAAGAGAACTTTCATGCACTTAGGTCGAATCTCGCATGTAGGAAGAGGTTTATGGCTATTAAGACCGATATGAGTAAGGCATACGACCGCGTTGAATGGTCTTTCCTCAAATCGTTGATGGAGAAGATGGGGTTTGATGATCGGTGGATTGGATGGATCATGTACTGTATCACCTCTGTGAAATACAGAGTTTTAATCAACGGTAGGCCAAGGGGGAGCATTACTCCATCACGTGGGATTAGGCAAGGGGACCCGATCTCACCTTACCTCTTCATCCTCTGCACGGAAGCCTTGATTTCTCAGCTCCGGACAGCCGAAGCGGAGGAAAAAATCCATGGTATAAGGATTGCTCGTGTAAGCCCTCCTACTTCGCACCTCCTATTTGCGGATGACAGCCTTTTTTTCTGTAAGGCAGATATTGCTCAGAGCAGAGAAATTATCGAGATTATCCGCCTTTACGGCGAGGCTTCGGGGCAGCAAATCAACCTTGCGAAATCGTCCATCATGTTTGGACACGATGTTCCCACCCTTATGAGACAAGCTATAAAAGAAACCCTTGGTATTTCTCAGGAAGGGGGAATGGGCACATACTTAGGTCTCCCGGAAAATATCCAAGGCTCTAAAGCTCAAGTCTTCGCTTTCGTTCGAGATAGACTACAAAACCGGGTTAACTCCTGGTCTTCTAAACTACTTTCGAAGGGTGGCAAAGAGATTATGATTAAATCCCAGGCTCAAGCGATCCCGACATATGTAATGTCGTGCTTCCTCCTCCCAAAGGCCTTATGCTCTAAGTTAAAGAGCGCAATTGCCAATTTCTGGTGGAGTTCTAAGAGTGAGAGTAGAGGAGTCCATTGGACGGCATGGGATTCCCTATGCGACCAAATGAAGGATGGCGGCCTCGGATTCAGGACTATCGAAGATTTCAACATTGCGCTGCTTGCTAAACAGCTTTGGAGACTCTTGAGATTCCCAGATTCCCTCTTATGTCGCGTTTTAAAGGGGAGATATTTTAGATATTGTAATCCTCTTGAAGTAAGCGCATCGAATCGACCGTCGTACGGATGGCGTAGCATAATGGCGGCAAAACCTCTTCTTACATCGGGCATTCGGAAGATCATAGGATCCGGTTTTGACACTTGCGTGTGGTCCGAACCTTGGATTCCTGACATCCCTGCAAGACCCCCGAAGGGACTCCATGAGGATCGGGATCCGCTCCTCTACGTCAACACCTTAATTGATTTTGAAACAAAACGGTGGAAGCTTGATCGCCTTCAAGAGCTTTTCCCCCCCGAGGAGATTACCCTCATCTTAGGATTGCGTCCGAGCCAAGTTTTCTCGAGAGATGGTTATAGTTGGATTTTTACAAAATCCGGTAACTATACCGTCAAGTCTGGATATTGGAATGCGAGAGCCTTATCTCGTTTGTCATGTGACCTCCCTGTTCAGGGTCCAAATACTTTGGTTCTAAAGGCACAGGCATGGAAACTGAAAACTACACGCAAGATCAAACACTTTGTGTGGCAGTGTGTGAATGGCAGTGTTCCCACTTGCCAACGCTTATTCTCTCGACATATAGGAAGTGATAAAGGATGTCCGAGATGTGGGGCGGAGGAGGAGACGATTAACCATGTGCTCTTCGAGTGCTCACCGGCGAAACAAGTTTGGGCTCTCTCGGTGATCCCATCCGCTCCAAATCTTTTTCCCACATCCTCCATTTTTGGTAACTTTGATTATCTATTTTGGAGAGCACTAGCGTCAGGCTTAGACGAGGTACATCTCAGGATTTTTCCTTGGATCTTATGGTTCTTGTGGAAAGCAAGAAACAAAAAGGTTTTTGAGAATGTGGACGAGCAACCGCCAGACATTTTAAATCATGCAAAGGCAGAGGAAGAAGCTTGGAGATTGGCCAATGAGGAGGAAAGCGGGACGTCCAGTCCAGGTCCGACTCCAACGCCAACAAACACATCCACTTCCGAGATGTCAGGCTGCTTTATCGACGGTTCATGGTTGGACTCCGCGGGCATTAGTGGACTCGGTTGGATTGTCGTTGCCAACCGAAATATCAGTCTTGTGGGTCTACGCGGAATAGATCGAAGCTTATCTCCCCTGCACGCGAAACTGGATTCTCTTTTATGGGCCATGAAATGCGTTTTCTCTTCACATGTTACTAGTGAAGTCTTTTATACAGATTGCCTGGACTTAATTTCCATGACAGCGAACCCCTCGGATTGGCCTACATTTGCAGCTGAGCTTGAAGACTTTAGGTCCTTATCTTCATGTTTTAGTTCATTTCGTTTAGCTCATATCCCCCGGTCTTGTAATGTCCGTGCTGACCTGTTAGCAAAAGCCGTTAGGGCACGAGGAGTAAGGTTTTCCCATGTAAGCGTTGCGGCTCCAGCCTGGCTATCCCTCGAGGAGAGTCGTTTGCCGCAAACGTAATAAAATGGTGTATTTGTTGTCAAAAAAAAAAAAAGAAAAAAAAAAGGGATATCGTGTTTTTTTTTGGAAAACTCATTTGCTCGTTCTTTTTTTTTTAATCTTTTTATCATGTAATTTTATTTATATGTAATGCATAATTTATTTCAAATTATAATAAATAAAATGTGTAAAATTGATTTTTGGAAAAAAAAAGTTAATAAAAAATTTGTTAAAATAATTCAAAGAACTCCCTTGAAGGGATTCAAGGTTGGACACCAATTTTTTCATAGAGTTCATCTAAAAAAATTTTCTAAAAAAACTAATAAAAAAATCTGATGAACCCCTCAATGGAGTTCAGGGTTGGAGATGATCTTAGATTGTAAAATTTTAGACTGATGACTGACCGAGCGCTAGATAATGCGGTGGTACACTATTTAGCCGAATGATTAATGTTCCATTTGATGTTGTATGTCAAGACCCAAAAAAAGCTGATGATAAAAAATAAAAAAAAATAATATAATAACAGCAAATTATGAAGATAAAAATCAGAAGTTATAATTTATAAAATTACTCCTCCACTGAATACAATAAACGAGACAATTAATTAATAATATAAATAAGTATACAATGATGATATAGTAGTTGGTATATATTAATTATCTGGAGGTCCAGTATTAATTGACGACGACTGTTTTGCTTGTGGCTACTATCATGTGTTTAATATCGACGTCCCTTTTTTGGTCGTTGTCTACCTACGTTTTTGATTTAGCGTATACTAAGAAGAAAAGAGTAACGAGTATTGTTTTTGGTGGACTGATTTTTCAAAATAATGATTTAAAAAACACAACGTGATATGG